AACCACAGACCTACTTCTGGCTTTTTGGTGGTTATTGTAGATAAAGAGTCACAGTCTTTTGTGACCCAACTGTCTTCAAGCAATCCTCAGATCTCAGCCTCCCAAGTAGCTGGGATTATAGGCATAAATCACTGGTGCCCAACTGCATTTTTTATAATGACATGAAATTATGATTGGTGGTCATTCTTTTCTATTCTATCCCAGGGAATGAGATAAATCAGTCGCCACAGGTGCCCACATAGATTAGGTGTAAGTTGAAAGCATCTATCTCACTCTTCTTTTAAAACCTTGTAAACAAGCAGATCATGGGGCTCCTGTATTTCTGCTCCTATATTCTTCATGTTTGAAATATTAAAATCTTCAGTGAAGACTAATGAGAAGAATGAGAAATACTAGAATGCTTCATTTAAAAAAATGTATAGTCTACTATGTTGAAAGCACATATATTGTACTATAACATTCCAGATCTTCTCATATTTTTCAACTAAAAAGGAAATGATTTATTCAGTTTGTCAGTTTGGGAAGAACAAGTATGCATGAATAATCTAGACTCTCTCCTTTTGGGCAGCCATCACAGACAGAGCAAACATTTACTGTATTCATCCATGTCCAGGAACTAGGATGTCTACTTCTGTCTAGTTCTTTCCACCTTTGTTTGCTTAAATCTGCCAAATTCTAGACTTCATCATAAGAAAGCTCACTTTCCAGCCTACATATAAGTTGTATTCTGCAAACAAATCTTAAAAATCTTAAAACAACTCACAGTTAAAAAATAAATGAAGCTGGGGGCCAGTGGCTCACACCTGTAATCCTAGCTACTCAGGAGGCTGAGATCTGAGGATCACAGTTCAAAGCCAGCCCAGGCAGGAAAGACCGTGAGACTCCTATCTTCAATTAACCACCAGAAAACCAGAAGTGGTGCTGTAGCTCAAGTGGTAGAGTGCTCGCTTTGAGCTGAAGAGCTGAAGGACAGTGCACAGGCCCAGAGTTCAAGCCCCGTGACCAACAAATAAGTAAATAAATAAATGATCAGTCAGGTGCCAGTGGCTCACATTTGTAATCTTAAGGAGACCGAGACCTGAGAATCAAAGGTTAAAGCCAGTCTGGGAGAAAGTCTACCAGACTCAATCTCCAACTAACCAGCAAAAAGCTAGACTGGAGATAAAGTTCAAGTGGTAGAGTACCAGCCTTGAACAAGAAAGCTAAAAAAGAGATCAAGGCCCTGAGATCAATGCCAGTACCTGCTTACACAAATATCCATGTAAATGATTACTAAACTATGGTCTATCAATGCTTGCTTTATTGTCATTTTTTTTTTTTTTGCTAGTCCTGGCAATTGAACTCAGGCCTGGGCACTGTCCCTGAGCTTCATTTTTTGCTCAAGGCTAGCACTCTACCACTTGAGCCAGTGCCACTTCTGGCTTTTTCTGTTTTTGTGGTACTGAGGAATCACACCCAGGGCTTCATGCATGCTAGGCAAGTACTCTACCACTAAGCCACATTCTCAACCCCTTCGTCAACATTTTTGATCTTTTACTGTTTCTCTTCAAGATGAGTCAAGGTATGCAAAATCCACTTGCGTTTAAATTCAATGTGGGCTTTTATTACTGTAGATGGTTATATAGATTCTAAAAATCCTGCTCTGTTCAAGACTTAACCAAGTTTTTCTATCTTTAGATATTTGTAAACCAAGTGAAAAAAGTAAATCTTCTCTCATTTTTGTTTATCTAATGCTAGATTATGTTGGAGTTTTTAAAGGAATTATTAGTAATAAAGGTGATATTCTAGCCTCTAAGCTGCCACTACCTTACTGTCCTATTTCAGAATTTACATAAAGCTGCCATTATTTTACTGTATTACTTCAGAATTTACATAAAGAAGGAGGTACTGGCAGGCACCAATAGCTCAGGAGACTGAGATCTGAGGATCACAGTTCAAAGCCAGCCTGGGCAGGAAAGTCTAGGATTATAGGCATGAGCCATTAATGCTGGGCTCATGAGACTCTGATCTCCAATTAACTACCCAAAAACTGAAAGGAGAACTGTGTCTCCAAGTGGTAAAGTGCTAGCCTTGAGCAAAAAAGCTCAGGGGTAGTGTCCAGGCCTTGTATTAAAGCCCCCAAACTAACACACACAAAATAATAAATAAAACAATTAAAAATGAAAGAGCATTTATTTAGCTCTTTAGACCACATGTTACTTCAAATTGTCTCAGCTACAAAAGAAAAACTAATGTTTAAAGGCTCTCTGCTGATCTCTAATTCTTGGTATCCTAAAATATTTTTGCCTTTCCCTTCTTCCCTCCCTGTGTCCCTCCCTTTTTCTTCTCTCCCTTCCTTCTTTTTCTTTGTCTCTTCCTCCATAGCATTTAATATCATAAACTATTTTATTGATTAATTTGTTTTTACTGACCATCTACTATATGATTTAAGAGTAGGAACCTTGACTGTCTTATTTATGACCCTGTTCTTACTGCTAAGGAAAATGCCCATCACAAAGTAAATAATAACTATTTATTGAACAAATGGAATTAAATGTAAAAATTTGTTAAGACATGATTTTCTTTACCTTTTGGATTACAAAGAGTGATGCTATTTGCTTCTATACAAACAGAAGTTTGTGAGGTTTTAACACAGACTGGAATTCCAACAATTTTATATTCATTTCCCATTTTCATCTTGTTTACTAATTCATCTAAAATTAAACACAAAAGAAAACAATATTCACTAAATTAAACTTTCACGTGGTCATAGGATTCAAAGGTCCAGAACCAGTAACAATTCAGTAGTTGAATGATATATTCAGATATATTTGTTTAGTATATTTCAATGTACAATGGCACCCATAATGCAAACAGGGGCAATTCTACTGCTGATAAATACTGATACATGTATACAATAGGAATTACCTTCGATAACATATGATAGATATACCAACTACTTTCTTAAAATGTTATCAAGAGAAAACAGATCATCTATGTAATATATGTGCATTAAATGTTTATAAAAATGATCTCATAAGTAACAGTATTATTCAGAAACAAAGTAATGTTGAAAGGTGTCACTCACTATAATATATTTAAGCTACTTATAGTTACTTATTAGTTAAAAACTGTAAACAGTTTTTTTAATCGCTATACATGAAAAACTTTGAAGGAAAGTGACTAAGAACTAAATAACTAGTAAGTGGAGAAGTGATATCTATATGTAGTTCCACTTGCCTCCAAGGTCTACCCTTTTACAAGAGTCTAGATTCTTCTCTCACACCTCCAGCGTGGGCAAAATTTTGGATGAGTTCAAAGTTGATTTTTAAAAAACACAATAAAAAATATGAGTCTCCATTCCAAAATCAAAAGTTGGTTGGTCTTTTTTTTTTTTAGTCATGGGGCTTGAACTCCGGGCCTAGGCACTGTCACTCAGCACTTCGGATGAAGGCTAGCACTCTATCACTTGAGCCAAAGAGCCACTTCTGGTTTTCTGGTTGTTTACTGGAGATAAGTATCTCACAGACTTTCCTGCCTTGGCTGGCTTTGAACCGCAATCCTCAGATCTCAGTCTCCTGAGTAGCTAGGATTACAGGCATGAGCCACCGACACTGGGCTATGTTGGTTAGTCTTAACAGAAAAAAAAGTTTTATAAGGAGAAGCAAAGATTAACTTCTCTACATGTAGATCAATGACTCCTTCCCTCTCTCTGGATAGATAGATAGATAGATAGATAGATAATCCTCTCTCTCTTTCCCTCCCTCATACTTCAACTATAAAAAGTATTCTGGTGTATCCTGTAGACATGAAAGTAGAGAACTATGCTCCACAATTGATAAAGTATAGAAACAAACAGAAACACTAACAAAAATAAAATTAAATAAAAATAAATTAAATAAAGGATGGAAAATTAATTACAGGAAGAAAATTAAAAGAGACTATCATGAATAGTTTTTCAACTGTTTCCTGTAATCTTAGACCTTGGTTGATGTGTCCTTAGTTCATAGGAAAATAAGTTCATAGTTCCTAGTCCTTAATCAAGAGGAAAATAAGGATACTGGGAAGACTAGGTAACTCTTTTACTATCAATCCAAAAGCTCTGCATCTAGTCATTTAATTTTAAATAATTTAAATTTAAATAATTTCTTTCTGATAAGGTCTTGCTCTGTAATTCAGGATGCCCTTAAACTGGCAATCATCCTACCTTTGGGATTATAAACATTTGAGTTCTTCAGAAGAGTTTATTTGGAGAAAAGTTTTGTACTAAAATGGAAGCTGGAACAGGGCACTGGCGGTTCACGCCTGTAACCCTAGCTACTCAGGAGGTTGAGATCCAAGGATTGTAGATTTGAGGCCAGCCCCAGCAGACAAGTTTGCAAGACTCCATCTACTTAACTACTCTCCCCAAAATCCAGAAGTGGAGTTGTGTCTCAAGTGGTAGAGTACTAATCTTGAGCAGAAAAGCTCAGGGACAGAACCCAGGCCCTGAGTTATAACAAGCCCCAGGACCTGAACAAAATCAAAACCAAAACGCAAGCTGGATAGCCACATATATATATGCTGTTTTTGTTCTTGTTTTTTGTCAGTTATGGGGGCTTGAACTCTAGGCCTGGGCGCTGTCCCTCAGCGCTTCAGCTCAAGGCAAGCACTCTACCACTTGAGCCATAGCACCACTTCCAGTTTTCTGGTGGTTTATTGGAGATAAGAGACTCATGGGGGGCTGGGAAGGTGGCTCAGTGGTAGAGAGCTTGCCTTGCATGCCTGAGGCCCTGGGTTCCATCCTCAGCACCATATAAGAAAAAAGCCGAAAGTGGTGCTGTGGCTCAAGTGGTAGAGCGCTAGCCTTGAGCTGAAGAGCTGAGGGATAGCTCCCATGTCCAGAGTTCAGGCCTCACAACCAGACCAAAAAAAAAAAAAGAGAGATTCATGGACTTTTCCTGACTGGTCTGGCTTTGAACTGTGATCCTCAGATCTCCGCCTCCTGAGTAGCTAGGATTAGAGGTGTGAGCCACTGGCATCCAGCAGCAACTTATATTTTGATATTGAGTGTGATATAGATATAAATTGAAAACACAGACTTTGAGGCTGATTGCCTGAGTCTTGTCTGTACAGCTTACTAGCTGTGTGACTTTGCTCTCTACCACTTGAGCCAACTTCCAGTTATATGTGACCTTGGACAAGGTATTTAACCACTGTGTGCCTCAGTTTCTACATTGTAAAGTGAGAGATACATTTTAAGAATGTGTTAATAGAACCTATGTTAGGGTTGCTGTGACTAAATAATATGCAAGAATGCCTGGTACATAGACATTGCTATATACAAATTAGTTACTATTTCCTTTTCCTTTTTCTCTTTTCGATCTTTCTTTCTTGTCAATCATGGAACTTGAACTCTGGGCCTCGGTGCTGTCCCTCAGCTCGAGGAGAACGCTCTATCACTTAAGCCACAGCGCCATTTTGGGTTTTCTGGTGGTTAATTGGAGATAAGAGTCTCACAGACTTTCCTGCCCAGATTGGCTTTGAACCATGATCCTCAGATCTTAGCCTCCTGAGCAGCTAGGATTACAGGCATGAGCCACCAGTACCTGGCTTAGTTACTATTTCTAAGTGTAAATGCCTGATTCATCCTGTCCTAACTTTCCTAACTCTTGTATTTCCTAACCATGATTTACATCCAGTATCTTTCTTTCTAAGTTTCTTTAATTTTGCTCCAGAGGAAAAGAGCCCCTGTTTTCACAGCACTGGCTTCTTGATAAAGATTCATTTGTTCCCTGAGTGATTGTTACTCTGAGTTATTTCTTCCTACATGGTAGACTATTTATGGTGTGTGTGTGTGTATGTGTGTGTGTGTGTGTGTGTGCTTGAGCTCAGGGCCTTGAGCTCTTACTCAGCTTTTGCACACATGGCTGGATTCTATCTCTTGAACTACAGCTCCACTTTTGCTTCATGAGTACTTATCCATGCAATTCTCCATAGTTAATCATATATGAATGTTAATTCAATTATTTTTAAAAATACTGAGGTTTTACTATGTGCAGCAAAAAAGCCAGTCTTAGGGGCTGGGAAGGGTGGCTCAGTGGTAGAGCGCTTGCCTTGCATGCATAAGGCCGTGGGTTCGATTCCTCAGCACCACATAAGCAGAAAAAAAAAGCTGGAAGTGGCATTGTGGCTCAAGTGGTAGAGCTCTAGCCTTGAGCTGAAGGACAGCGCCCAGGCCCAGAGTTCAAGCCCATGCCTGGACTCCTCCCCCCCCCCCCCCCCCCCCCGCCCAAAAGCCAATCTTTACTCTCACCATGCTTTTATTGCAAAACTATAATCTTGATATTAGCTAGGCATGGTGGTGTATATCTGTAATCTCAGTATTCATGAAGCAGAGACAGAGGATTCTGATTCAAGACAACTCTAGGCAAATTAGCTATCGAATTAGCTAATAATTAGCTAATCTAAGACTCTATATCTTAACAAACAAGCTAGGTGTGGTTGTCACTCCTATAAACCCAGCTATGCAAGAAACTTAAGTAGGAAGATCAAGGTCTGAGACTGGCCCTTAGAAAAAGTGAGACCCTATTGATAAATAACCAAAGCTAGTGTGAGGCTCTGAGTTCAAACTCTAGTGCCATCAAAGAAAATAACAAAGACTTTTTTTTTAAAAACCCTCCAATATTAACATAAGATACATGCATATAGGATATAGCCATAAAATGACTATGACTCTAGGATATAGCAACCTAAGAATATGACAACTTGTAATATTTATAGTTTAAAAGCATGAATAAGTCAATTCCATATTTTATAGCAATTTGCTTCAATTCTACATACCTCTCAGAAAAATTGTAAGAGATTGAAACCTAAATGGCTGGTTTTTAATATATCCTTGAAAAGCATGAAGAACTTTAGTGGTAATTATTTCAACTATCTGTTTATCTTCAGACAAGAAAGAAAAATTAATTATTAGAACATATATACAATTTTGCTTTTCACATTAAAATATAAAACACTATTTTGAAAATTGTAATTCCAAAATGTAAATGCATTTTTACCACCAAGTACTCTAAATTTTCTGTCTTCTTGAAGTGAAGATGAACAAAGATTACACAAAAAGTCATTTCTTACTGTTGATGATTCTGTAGCACCAGGCATGTGTACTCTTATATACTGAAATCCTGAAAGAAAAAAATGCTTTCAAATTTGGCTATTTTCAGTAATTTAGTACTAATTCAAAGCATGCTTAATTCAATTTTGCACTTAGGTTCAGAGAAAATCAACTAATGTTTACTATATGGCTTTATTTATTTATTTGTTTGAGATAGGATCTCTCTATGCAGCCCAGCCTGACCTCAAACTCTCCTACCTTGCCCTCTCAAGTGCTGGGAATATGGGTGGTTCTTCTAGGTACATAATAAAGCATTGGTAATATGGTTATTTTAACACACAATTTTTATATGTAGCAATGAGAAACAGATGATTGCAATATGTAGCATTATTTGGAGAGTATACAGACAGAAGAGAAGTATGACATTCAAGTCATTGAGGTGGGTCAATAAATTAAAATGATGTCTTAAAAAGTAGACTGACACCAGGCACTGGTGGCTGACATGTATAATCCTAGCTACTCAGGAGGCTGAGATATGAGAATGAATCTCAGTTTCAAACCAGCCTGGGCAGGGAAATCTGTGAGACTGTTACCTCCAATTAAATACCCAAAGAACCAAAAGTGGAACTGTGGATCAACTAGTAGAGCCCTAGCCTTAAGCACAAAAGTTCAGGGTCAGTGCCCCAGGGACTTCCCTTCTCCCTCAACTCCCCTTCCCCCCCAAAAGGATTGAGCTGCTTAAGGCAAAGAATTAATACAGTACCTTAAGTAGACAAGGACAACATGAAACAATGTATGAAAAGAGCCATATTTTAACAAGATAAGAGTACTTGTTAAACTGCGGGGTGGAGGGAAAAATGCATTTCAAAATCATGCAAGTTATAAACTTTAGAAGACAATCAAATTTCCATTCATTACAATTTGAAGTAATTAATAACTGTAAGCATGATTTTAAATTAAACAACATATTACCAGATGTTTTGATTTTACATTTTAATATTTACCCTTTGAAAGAGGACATGCTTCATCCGAACAAAGAAATCTTGCACCTTGTGAATACTTGGTTACAGTTGTCATTGCAATCACAATTCCTTGCATCATATAAAATCTCTGAGATGTATAATCAAGTGGAAACTCACAAAGATCAAGACCATAACTTGGCAGAGGAGGTAAATGTGTTAATTTCAGCACTATATTAATCTGGTAAGAACATAAAATAGTATTAATAAAAATTGCAAATACAATTTGACTTTCATTATGATACAGAAGTTCACTGTAGAGTAAATCAAGTAATGATTAGAAGTCATTGTTAGCAATACTAGGATTTGAACCCAGGACCTCACATTTGCCCTTTACCACTGACCCATACCCCCAGCCAAAGAAAAAAGACTCAAAATTAAACAAGTAAAGATCTTACAAGCTAACATTTTAACTGAAAGCATCACAATGAGCTAATATATAAAATACACATAGCTTGGCCACATTCACTAAACAATAACAATAGTGAATAGTGCCCAAATTTTTACCTCTAAATGTCATTTCTCACTTGGGCTCCCAATAAGAAATGACTGGTATAACTCTTGGATGAAAAATATTCCAGATGGACTTGGGGCATTTTCTTATGGCAGAAACTAAGATAACTATAAAAAATGAATGGTATGTATCAAAAGGACATAAAAGCAAACTTGAAGGGATATGCTCTCTTCAAAGATCAACAGTCTGATAATATATGCATCAAAATGAATGAGAGAGTTTCATTAAAATGTCTCAGAAACAAAACAATGGAAGCTCACACGTGTAAGCCCAACACTTGGGGGAAGTTGAGGCAGGAGGCTTTCGAAGTACCTTGGGCCAACCTGGGCTACATAGTGAGATTTTTTTTTTCCCCTCAGAAAGTCAAAAATGAAGAAAAAAATCAGACATACTAAAAAGTTGATGAGTTCCTCATATTTAAAAAAATAGTCATTGCAAGCTATCAATGAAAACTTTACAAAACTTTACTCTGGGTGCCACGCCTGTAATCCTAGCTACTCAGGAGGCTAAGATCTGAGGATCGTGGTTCAAAGCCAGCCCCGGCAGAAAAGTCCATGAAACTCTTATCTCCAATTAACCACCAGAAAACTGGAAGTGGCACTGTGGCTCAAGTGGTAGAGTGCTCTCCTTGAGCTGAAGAGCTGAGGGACAGCAGCTAGGCCCAGAGTTCAAGCCCCAAGACTGACCAAAAAAAGAGAATAAAACATTTATCTGGTATCCTTTACAATTTCCTGGAAAACTATATTTCAGAGTAACAAAATAGTTGATGAGAGAAAACATATTTAATTTTTGTGCATTTTAAGGAAAAACAATGAGTTTAATATATTTTCAATTAAAATGTAAGAATTTAAGATTTTAATTTTCTTAATTTTGAATCCAAGTCTTTGTACATGCTCAGAAGACCTCTACTGCTGAGCTATATGCCCAACCCAGAAAATTTACAGAGAAATTCTGGCTAATAAATTCACAACAGATGGTAAAATTAGGAAAATCATAATTTTCCAACTCCTAATGAATTAACAGGTTCTGGGGAAAGTTAGATGAAAGCTGAGAGACAATTGTACAATAGAGGGGTCAGAACAGTATCACCTGAACCCACTACTTAATTGTAACATGACTAATTAAGATAACATGATTATCCTCCTGACAGAAAGCAATATGGGGTAAATGTCACTAGTTCTGATGTATTCTTGTTAAGATGAGTTGAATTGGAATTTAAGTTTCTAGAACCTACCCTTATTTTAGATCTATGGAATAAAGAGGAATAATTTAAGTAGTATCATAAAGATGCAATCAGAAAAATCTAGATTATGTAAACATTTATAGGATAATGAACTAGTCTCATCAACAAGTCAATGGTATTAAGAGGGAAAGTGAATGGCTCTATATTGAAAGAAACATAAGGAGATATGAGGACTAGTTATAAGGTGTGGCTCTTATTTTTATACTGAATTGAACAAACTAACTGAGAGACAGTTTTGTTTTATTTTGTTTTGTTTGATAATAGTGATATTGGAGTTTAAGATGAGGGCCTCCCCCTTGCTGGGAAAGTGCTCTACCATTTGGGCCATACACTGTAGTTATTTTTCAGATAGCCTTGCACTTTCTGCTTGGAGGCCAGTCTTGGATAATGATCCACCTGCTTATACTTCCAGTAGGTAAAGAATCCCATAGCTGGGGGTACAGATATTCACCAATATGCCCAGCCCAGCAGATTTGCTGAGAGAGGTGTTGCTAACTTTTTGCCTGGACTGACCTCAACTCAATTTTCCAAATTTATGCCTCCCTCAAATCTGAGATTGCAGGCATGAACTGCCATATAGGCCTTGAAAAGTATTTTTGAAACAAATTGGGCAAATGTAAATGTGGACAATATTAGATGAAACCAAGGAATTATTGTTACTTTTGTAAAGGGGCACTGTAGTTATATAATAAAATCTACAATTTTAGAAGATTATACTAAAGTAACACTAAAGTAATAGAATAAGATTGGCTTCAAAATATTTAAAATAAAAATAGATGATGCACATATGCTACATTGAGTTTGAGTAGCAAGTATACTGAGGTGCACCATACTTATAACTTTATTTTTGGGTATGTTTGAAGAATTTTACTATAAAAATGTCTAATCGTCAAGTGAAAACATGGGAAATAAAGATACACATGTAAAGTACTTGTGACAGCTAATCTTTATTGTCTACTTGAGTGGAATGAGACTATCTAGGAGATTAGTAACACTCAACTCTGGATGTATATGTGAGTGTATTTGAAGAGAAGATTAACTATTAGGGAAGACCTGCCCTAAATGTGACTAGTTTCATCCTATAAGCTGAGGGCCCAGATAGACTAATGGGGAGAAACAGAGATTACAGCAGTGAAGTATTCTCTTCTTTTCTATCTCCCTACCCGCTCTCCATCCTAACTATCATCATGTTACGGGCGCTGCACTGCCAAACTCTCCCTACCAGGATGGATTGGAATCTATGAACCCACATCAAATAATTCCTCCCTTTAAGTTATTTATATCAGACATTTTGTCACAGTTTTGTAACAAAAATCTAACACAAAACATTCTCTAGAACTTGGGAAAATGTAGTGTCTTTTTAGCAAATAAAACTATGAATAGAAAATATTAATTTACAAGTAATTATGAAAGTTTTCAGCTACATTTTCTTTAGTAAAGTTAGTTAAAACTGTCAGATGCCAGTGGCCCACATCTGAAATCCTAGCTACTCAGGAGGCTGACATCTGAGGATCATAGTGGGAAGCCAGTCTGGGCAGTAAAATCCATGAGACTCTATCTCTAATTAACCAGCAAAAAACAGGAAGTGTAGTGCACCAGCCTTGAGCAAAAAAGCTCAGGGGCCAGGCCCCTGAGTCCAAGCCCCAGGACCAGCACAAAAACACAAAAACAAAGCAACAACAAAAAATAGTGAATTAAAACTTACTTGAGTTTCAGTCTGCAATTGTCCAATTAATGAGAGAGTCTTAATAGCAATAAAACAGACCTGTGATTTCAAATAAACAAGTTACCAAAAATTCCACATGGAATAAAATTATTTCTTTCTTTAACTTACTGATTGAAAAACTTGTGCAGCTTTTAAAGGATGGTGTAAAATGTGATTTCCAAGTTCAGCATCCAATTCAACAACATCAGAGGGATTTATCAAAATATTGAATCGATAGACAGCATAACTTTGTTTTGAATCTATAAAAACACACAAATGTAAAATTCACTTTAGTTATATGTAGACAAATATTTGAAAGTGTTTTTTTTTGTTTCTGTTTGTTTTGTTTTGTTGCCAATCTTGGGGCTTGAATTTAGGGCTTGCTCGGTGTCCCTGAGTTTCTTTTGCTCAAGACTAGCACTCTACCCTTGAGCCACAGCACCATTTCCAGCTTTTTCTGTGTATGTGGTACTGAGGAATTGATCGCAGGGCTTCATGCATGCTGGGCAAGCACTCTGCCACGAGGCTTCAGTCCCAGCTTTTTAACAAAGTCACATTTGCCGAACATACCATTGTAGTACTTGCAGTCGTCTATAAACTTTTGGAGGCCTCCACTTCTGTCAAGATAGATAAGGGCTGCTTCTTTCATTTTTAGATTCGACATTTTTCTCCTAGTTATAATTCTTTTCTATTACAACTGGATTAACCCACAGATGCTGGTAAAGATTAGAAGTGGTGAACTTGCAGGATGAGGAAATCTAGAAGTGAAATAGAAATACATTTTATTTTGGAGAACTCTAATAAAACTACAAACTCAAACTGAGAACAAAATAAAGCCAGGCAACTTTCTAATTCTCAAAATACCTACAGAAAGAACTTGGTTTTGAACTCTATCACACATATGCTAAGTATGAGCTACTTATCCAACTTTTTTTTTTTTTTTGCCAGTCGTGGGGCTTGAACTCTGGTCTTGGGCACTGTCCCTGTATTCTTCAGCTCAAGGCGAGCACTGTACCACTTGAGCCACAGTGCCACTTCTGGTTCTCTAGTGGTTTATTGGAGATGAGTCTCATGAACTTGCCTCCCCAAGCTCACTTTGAACCATGATCCTCAGATCTCAGCCTCCTAAGTAACTAGGATTACAGGTGTGAGCCACCAGTGTCCAGCTTATCCAACTCTTAAATAACACTGTAATCAGTTATGAGATCCTCTACAAGATCAAAAGAATTGGATCCTCATATGTCTTCATAGGCTAGGTACTAAAAGAAATTGCTCGCTGAAATAATATTGGATGATACTGTTCTCTTTGTAGGTCCAGAATCTTTATTTGTAGAGAATGAATGAAGATACATTAGGTGATTGAATGTCCAGGACATCGCTTTCCTGCTTCATTGTTCAAGGTTTTGAAGTCCATCATGATTATATAAAGAGAAGACTAGAAAGTATTGTGCTCTTGCTTGGCTTTCCAGCTCATGGTTGGTGCTTTACTTAAGCTACACCACCAGTAACTACTACAACGTTTTATAAATCACAGAATTTTCTGTAGGGTCATATTTTGCCCCCTTTTTTTGGTGCTATTCCTAAGCCTTGAACTATGAACCTGGGTGCTGTCTCTAAGCTTTTTGCTCAAGGCTAGTGCTCTACCACTTGAAGCACAGCTCTACTTTGGCTTTTTAAATGGTTAACTGGAGGTAAGAATCTCATAGACTTTCCTGCCCTGGTTTTGAGTAGATAAAATTTACAGATGACCCATGTAATTGTAACTCCTCTGTACAGTATTTTCACAATAATAAAAAAAAAAGATTTACAGATGTCAGGTGCCAGGCTGAGGGTCAGATTTTTATTTTGAATATCAACTCCTTCCTATTGTTGGTGTGAAAAAATGGCTTGAAACAATGAAAGTTGATTATCAGTTCTGTTAGCTATTGCAATATCCCTAAGATATGGATGGACCAGTCTAGTGCATCAGAACAGAAAAGATGAATTCTAGAATTTTAACCAGTCTTAGTGACCAGTCTATACAATATGGGGAAGAGAGAGAGTCCAAATGTTTGGGAGCGTAGGTTAGTGCCATGCATCAGGTAATCCCAGCACTCTGAAGCTGAGGCACAAAGATCACCAGTTAGAACCTAGCCTGAGCTACTCTACATGCAAGTTCCAGGCCAGCCTGAGCTACCCAGTGGGAGATCCTAACCCAAAAGGGAAGGACTGGGGATGGAGAATAGTGATACAGTGCTTGCCTACATGGTCATGGGATCCCTAATATATGGTATATACATGTATGGTACTTATATGAGCATATACATGTATAATATACATGCATGTATACACACAGATATGTACATATGCACACACTTATACGTATACCTGCATGTATGTATATGCATGCATGTATATATACATATATGTATAAATGAGAGTATGTGTATATGTACAAGGAAGCTCACACCTGTAATCCTAGATACTCAGGAGGCTGAGAGCTGAGCCTCACAGTTCGAAGTCAGCCTGGCCAGAAAAGCCTATGAGCCTTTCATCTCCAATTAGCCCCAAGAAAGCCAGAAACTGTGGTTACAGTGATCGAGCACTAACTAGCCTTGAGTACAAAAGCTCAGGGACAGGGGCCAGGCCCTGAGTTCAAGCCCCAGGATGGGCACCAAAAGAAGCCAGGGGAGGGGAACAGGCACAGCTGGTGTGAGCCCCTGCAGCTCCGAGGGCCTCGCCGGAGCGGGGCCTCGCCGGAGCGGGGCCTCGCCGGA